TATTTTGTTTAAGGGGTTTTTTTAATCAAAAGGGACATTTTTAAGTCACAAGAACTGCAAAGTCACCTGAAACTATGGATGGATTAAAAATTACTCAGTTCTTACTTCATTAGCTTCAGCTAATTTGCTCTCCTTCTCTTGCAGCTTCTTACTCATTGTCTCCATGCTCTTCTTGTAAGATTTGTTCATCTCCATTTGTTCTTTCAGTTTATTTTCAGCCTCTGTTTCCCTTTCCTGGTACTGCTTTATACGTGTGAGCAGCTCCTGGTTACGGTCGGCCTCTCGCTGGCCATGGGAAAAAACAGAAAGAGACTTAGGAAAAAGCAGCAGAAAGGTGAAGCCATTTTTCCTTCTTTTGTCCTCATTCCTCATTACCACGGTCACCAATGGTAATTGCTTCATCATGAAGCAAAGTTACTGAGACTAGCAAGGACAAAAATTTATCAGCAGTAACTCAATGGAATTACCCAAGGAATTACCCAGGGAAATGGAGCTGGAAAATTAAGAGACCACGTCTTCCAAATCTCTTTCACTACGACATGGCTGTGAGAATACAGATGTGGCTTCACAGACTCCACTGCACACTCTCCAGCAGATCAAAAATGAAAACATTCCATCTCCAATTTAAAGCTGACCCACGCACAGCAAACTGACTTTCAGAAGCTCAGCCCTCAACAGCTGGGTTAATAAGACAAACTTCCCTCTGCAACTTCTGGAATTGAGGCCATTTAAAAGAAAATATTATCAACCAATACAATAAATATTTTTGAAGTCTGACAACCTTTCATATACCATTTCAGTTTATTCCTACCACAAACTGATTGATACTTATTGAAAAAATGCATAGTAAATTGCTTTGCTAATCAAAGCAACTGGAGACACGGATTTGCATAGTAAGCAAGGATTATGCAAAGCAATGTGAGGTTCCTAAAACCTTTATCCACATGACTCAGAAAAACACAGAATCTGAGCAGGGTAATTACCACAGTGCTGGATTAATGCTGCTCCCTTTTTTTGTACTAGTATTTCAAGGGTTTCTGTGACTGACTCAGCTACATTCCAGTTTGAACTCTTCCTGGCCTAATCCTACATCACCTTACTTCAGAGGAAGGAGGAATTTAATCACTGACTCCCTATTTCACAACCACACACTAAATGTGTCACCCTCATAAAATACAACAAAACATACTTAATATTTTTTACAGATTTCTTTTTCAATAATCAGCCACATAGAAGACTTTTATTATGCTACAAAAGCCACTGATCCACAGCTTATTTCAGTAACATTGTTAAGCAAACATATGTGGGCAGAAAAGCAGAACCCAATAAAAGCTATTAGTCCCTGAGTGAGGCTCACTGTTTTATCAGTGCAGGCTCTCTTGCGTGACACTGCATGGCTGGAACTGCTGCCATTCCAATTAATTGCACTCACACAAACCGAATGCTGGCAATTGTGCCAGCAGAAGTTTAAACCCTCTAGGAGAAAAATTCAATATTATTAAATACTTCTGGGAGAAACATATAACAAATCCCTTTTGTTACTGCTACCCATGACACCTTCAGTGCTAAACTAACAGAATCCAGTGATCAGACAATCAGCCTGTGAACCTAACGAGGCTTCAAGTTCACACTCTTGTGCACATTAGCAAGTTAGTGCAGTGCACTGAGAGGGGACCTGCAGAGCAGTTCTGTAGCTGCATTGGTGCTGGCAACTTGACACCCACACCTGCAGTAAATGCAAACACAGTAAATGCATTCCAGATTCACTGAAGTCCTGCTCTGAAGAGAGTGTCCATTAGCAGCTGGAGAATACCAGGCTTGCTCATGGAATTCACCTTTCAGTTTATTTTCACTCCAAAAAGAGAGTAACTATACACATTCTGAGACAGACCACTGCAGACCAAAGCACACCCCTGATGTAAATGACCTCCATGTGCTCTGGCTCAGGCCAATGCTCCCAAGCCATGGGCAAACATCCCACTCACCTCATAGTTCCTGGCATTGGTATTAGCTGCCTTCTCCAGCTCGATGCGAGCTCGTTTGTGGCTCAGCTCCATCTGCATCTTCTCCCGTTCCACCTGCAACAGCTGGGACTTGGAGTGGATCTGCCCAGCCTGCTCCTCCAGCTGGCCAGTTCATGTGGGAAAAGGGACATGGCACACCATTAACAGCACAGCACTATCATCGTGCCCTGTGCTGCTCAGCTGACATTAACTTGCCATTTCACAAACTATCACCACATTTCTGGTACCTCTCACACCAGCTGTAGATGGGGAAACAAAGAGTTCAACACCACGCTCAGAAACCCACAGCAAACCAAGGAGAATTGGAAAGAAACTGATTCCTGGTTCTTAAGTCAAAATTTCTCAATCTCTAGATGTAGCCTGACAAAAATCTACTTCTCTATCTAAAAAGCTAATTATGGACTCCCCAAGCCTAAGAAGCACAGATCATGCTCCCAATAAAAGTAGCTGCTGAGCAAAATAACACGTTCTTCCATGACCTCTACAACATAATACTTATTTTTTCATTCAAATTACCTGAGAGCACAGACAATACCAACAGAATTGCTCACATCCTGGAGATCCAACACACAGCCAATGGAGACTCTAACCAGAGAGAGCCTCCTGCAACTACTGCTGCCACCAGAGATGTAGCACAGACAGAAAAAGCTTAAATTTTTGTCAACATTCCAAATGCACAGAAGCGGATTTACATTTAAAAAAACCAAACTTATTTTGTACTTAAGAGGCTGAAATAGAAATTATATTAAGATACAGAATAGAGAAACTTCATTCCAGCCTAACAAACAGTCCCTGGGATCTAAGATGTCAATTTACTTTATGCTTTATGAGCCTGAAGCAGCTAACAGAAAACAAAAAGTAAATAACCCAGGTGGATAAGAAAGCACAACTGGTTTGCATATCAAAGCTACAGCTCAATGCAGGTCTCCTGGATGTGTCCAGGAAAAGAAGCCTTTAAATCCTTAAAAAAGGTAACAAAGTGTTTTACCAGAAAAATGTTAAGATATAAAGCTCCTTTGTTCAGCAATATGAAAACAATTCACAATTTAATTTCCTGAGCTGGTACACAGATATAACTAGCAGGGAATAAATTCAAAGGACCTTTCTTAAACTTTTACAAAACAGAAATAAACCTGTCTGACACTGTAAAAAAAATTAAATATATTCTGGAAAAGATTCCAGAATGGTGACAGCAAGCTTCCTTTACTTGTTTATGTCAATTTCAGAATGTCAGTATCAGAATATCAGTTTCAGAATGTTCATATCAGAATGTCAATTTCAGAATGTCAATTTCTGAAAGAACAGTCAGATCTGAATGAAATTCCCAGCTCCTGGAACCAAAAGGAGCACCCGACCACACTGGAGTGATACTGCAGGAATCACCAAGATGAGGACTCCTCACCTGCATCCTCTGCTGGTACTGCAGCTGTAAGGAGCTTTGAGAAGATCCTGGTGTAGCCAGCCCAGACACTCCCTCCATACGCTGTGAAATGAAGTTGTTGAGGGATCTCAGGGTGGAGAAGACAGTGGTATTATTTTCCAAGTCCTCCATGGCTCTGGTAATGAACACAAAATCATCAGCAAAACACTCAAAGCAAGCTGCTCTGCTAAAGAGGCATCCATCACTGCCCTGAGGAAACATTAAACATGAGGGCTTTCAATTTACAGGGTAAAATCAACCTGCAAATCACTGCTGGGATCCACAGAAAACATGACCCACCCAGGCTGAAGTTGTAATTTTCTCTGAAATAAAAAAGGATGCAAGACGACCTTTTCTTCTCTGATGAAACCAAACTCATTGTTCTTTCCCCTAAGTTTTGAAGCTATGGGAGCAGAACTCCACAGTAGCAGCAAACCCTTCCTGCCACACAACTTGTTTCTGGTTTCCCAGAAGCACTTTGGACTCTTAATTTCTAACAAGAAGTCTTCCCATGTCCACTGATCACTTGTGTAAGTGAAACTGCATCTCACTATTCATATGATGAGATGTAGCTCTTCTTTCCCATTCAGAAAAGTACCAACTAAAAGGCCAAAGATAAAACAAGGATGGAGCTCAGAAAAGCCTGCAAGGTTTCCTAGGAAATTTAGCAGCCTTAGGTGAGTCCCTCCAGTGACTGCACGCTCCATAAATCCCCAGAACACCAGGAAAGGCAGCCACAACATCCACACGGCTCGTAGCACAGACAGAGGCCTGGGGCTGCCCCCTGCATCCCCGGGGTCACAGCGCAGCCACTGTTTGCATTTACAGCACCACGAGCAGAAGCAACAGATCTGCCAAAACCCAAACCGAGCGCTGGAGTCCAAACGCACCTGCCGGCAGGCAGCTCCAGCGAGCCCGTTCTCAAACCTACTAACAATTAAGAGGGCATTTAGGTGTGGGAGCCGGTCCGGTTCAGGAACGCCCGTGGCCAAGGCTCCCTCGGGACCCGCGGCGGGCAGCGAACACCGAGAGCGGCCGCGGCGGGCACGGGCAGCTCCGGGCACCGAGGGGTTCGCCCGCACGACTCCCCCAGGGGAAGAGCGGGCTGTGACGGGCGCGGCCGGAGCCCTCCTCCTCTCCCCTTTCCCCCCGTCCTTGCCCTCGCCCCTTCCCCGTCCCTCCCTCAGCGCTCACCGCCGCGCGCCCCGCTTGGATCTCCCTCTCCTCGCCCCGGCCACGGGATCTCGCGGGAACTCCGCGCCCGCCTCTCGCGAGAGCGGCGGCGCCGGCAGCCGTAACGGCGGCACTATGCGCGCAGCGCTCCCCGCGCTACCGTAATGCCCCGACAACGGCGGCGAGCGCGGGAGCTCGGCCCGGCCCCAAAATCCGCCCCGCGCCCTCCCGCTCCGGCACCGATCCCGTCAGCAGCCCCAGATGAGCTGTTGGTGATGAGAAAGGCCTGGGAGCCTTAAAAACAGTAACTCATGCCACAGTCAGCCCGATAAAAGCACTATTTAATATAAAATTTGTCACTTTCAGATAAGGCAGCGGCTGAATTTATTTGTGTGAGCAGATTTCCGGCAATTCAGTCATTCTCCCTGCTGGGATCTTAGGAACATCTTGTCTTTTTGCCTGAGAAACACCACTGGCCACACCTAAAAAGCACTGGGGGGATGATCTGCACGGCCATGACCCTGTCCCACTGCCATTGACTGGATTTATGAGTGCCAGGAAGCAGCAACTCCTAAATATAACCTGTGTGTGCAGGAGAGGCAGCAGAGCCATGGGGATGATCATTCCCAAGCCAGCCGTGCCTCTCACATGGCTGTGTTACACACCCTGCGTGAGGATGCAGATCCTGATGCACACAGAAACATTTTCTATTTTTTACCTGTGCTAATAAATTGCACCAGCTTCTAAAAGGCACTGAATTGGCTCAAACTCCCCTTTGCTGTTCCCTCACGTTCTGACAATCCCCTTTATGGTCAGTCTCATGTATGACAGCATTAACGCTGCAATGGTTTTCAGGCATGCATTAAAAACTCATATAATCAGTGTTTTATTTTCATTTCCATTACTCCAGCCCCAGAGGTTGCCTTTCAGATTACTCCTCTCCATTCCCAACCATTTTGTCCACAAGTATTTGAAAAGCCTGACGGACTTAAAGAAGAGTAGCAAACTTCCCCAAGGCCTTAATGGTGGGATTTTCCTTTTAACACCCACTAAACTGAGATTTCCAGTCAAATTCACAGAATGTGCAGCTCATGACTTTCATTTCCCTCTGTACAGCTTTGCCAAGTAATAAGATTCCGCAGAGTCCTTCCGGCTGGCCTGAGGCTTTATAGTTCTCACATCCTGGAACTGCTCCTTCAGTTTGTTTTGCAGCAGGCGGGCCTCGGATCCATCCCAGAATTTACAGAGCATCGTTCCTTTCGGCTTTAAAATGCTTTGGGCCATATCCAGGAGGCCTAAACACAGACTGATCAGCTTCTGGTGATCCAGCTCTTTGATGCCTGTGGCATTGGGTGCCATGTCACTCAGGATGACATCTGCCTTCCCCAAGGGAAGCAGGCTCTGGATGGCCCTCAGCGTGCTGGGCTCTGCCATGTCAGTCTCCGACAGGAAAACCGCCCCTTCCAGAGGAGAAATCCGCAGCAGGTCAACGCCAAGCACGAAGCCGGTGGGGACAGCAGCATCTGTAAGGATGAATGACACAGGGAACGCTCAGAGTGGCTGCAAAAACCTGCACATGCATGAGTTCTGTCAGTAGACACAACCCACCCACTGCCAGAGCTGCCTTCTCGTCCCCTGGCAGCTTGCTGGGTGCATCTGGATGGAGGGTTTGCCATAAGCTCATCCGTTCAAGAAATAAAAACTCAGCTACTTTGGATAAACAAGGAGGATTTTTCTTGGTTTTCTGCTGCTCTTACAAGGCCGACAGTCCAGAAATCCTGGTGCAGATGATAACACCTCAGTTTGTAAATATCAATGGCTTCACCCATATACACCATGCAAAGCAGTTGCTTCCATTGTTCGAGAAAGGAAACAATATTTCAAATAAGCCAAGGTAATTGCTAAAGGTCACATCATATTTAGAACTGGATGAAGGGATCTTCCCCACAAGAACTAATCAGATCACTAGCACCACATGGTATATTTTATTTCATAAACACAGTTTCTCTATATGAAGATTTACTAGGCTCACCTCTTCATGTTTTTATCAGTGACTCTGGCACTTGCCAGTACTCATGTCCCCTCCCCATACTGTTACCATCACAATATTTCCTTGATTTCATAGTATTTCAATTTAGATTCCGTAGTATTTCACAGACCTCTCACACACTTCAAGAGGAGCATCGTCCCCATCTCACCTGCCAAAAAATTGCACTTACCAGTACCTAAGGCATTGACCCTCTCTATAGCAACCTGGCTCCAAGCACCAGGTGCTGCTCCACAGTCAAGAACAGAAAATCCTGGACGAAGAACACAGAGCTTGTCATCAATTTCCAGCAACTTGAAGGCACTTCGGCACCGGTACTGCTGCTGCTTGGATGCCTTGACAAAGGGATCCTTCAAGTGCCGCTCCAACCACCTCTGCTCAGTTCCAGTTTTCCTCAGAAACTTCACCGTGGTGTGCAGGCATCTGCTCATCCAAAGCCAGGAAGAGAGGCAAGTCAACCAGTTAGTACATAACCACCCACTCTGTATTTCAAAAGTATAATAATTCATTCTAGCCACGACAGGCAGCCAGGGAGGGTGTGGAGCCTCCCTGTCCAGAGACATTCTCAATACAGCTGGACACATTCCTATGTCACCTGCTCCAGGCGACCCTGCCTTGGCAGGGTCATTGGGCCAGATGGTCTCCAGAGGTCCCTTCCAACCCAAACCATTCTGTGATTCTAAAAAGAAGCCCCCATATTTGAGATTTTGGCACCTTTACTTATCAGGTCCTATCACAACAGCAGGGTCAGATTTTGGATGAGGCCTCACGTGTTACCCTGAGCTAAGGGGGGAAAGAGATCCCACTCCTGCTTCTGCTCAGGTGTTTTAAGGACACGACATGGCAGAGTGACCCCCGCACCCCTGAGCTGACTCAGCGGGACCGGCGGCCTCCGTGAGCCCCTCAGAAGAACGGAGGGATGCCCGAAGCCCGGCAGAGCAACCAAGAGCCACGACCCGTGTGCGGCCGGAGCCGCCGCACGGCATTAACGTAAAACCCCAAACGCCCATTATCCCATTCCCGAGGGAAACTCCAGGCGCCGGCACTAGCGGCACCCCACCATCCCCCTCGTGGGCGCCGGCATCGCTTCAGCAGCCCCGCCACGCACCTGCCCCAGGCAATGACAGCTCCGCCCGGGCCCGCCATGGCCGCCTCAGCCCGCCCCGGCCCGCCTCCCCTCACGGCGGCCGCGGGCGGGGCGGCGGCGGCGCGGGAAGAGCGGGGACGGGCCGCGGCTGAGGGTGACGCCGGGGCGGGCGGGAAAGCTGCGAGTGTGGGGCTGAGGTGCGCGGGGACGGCGATGGGAGTGCAGGGGGGTCAGGGGTTGGGATGGGGGATCAGCGATTTGGGGAAGGGGCGCTGGGAGTCAAGGATTCGGGGAGGGGATGTTGAGGGTCATAAGGGATTCGGGGAGGGAGTTTAGGAGGAAGAAGGATTTAGGGAGAGCGGATCGGAGATTTGGGGAGGGGTTTCTGGTGGCTCAGGGATTCGGGGAAGGGGTGTTGAAGGTGGTCGGAGAATCTGGGGGAACAGGGATTTGCGGAGGGGATCGAAGATTTGGGGAAGGGGTGCTGGGAGTCGGGGTGGTGGGAGAGGGTGTTAAAGGTGGCCAGGATTCGGAGGGGGTGGTTTGGGGAAACAAGGATTTGGGAAGGGGGGGATCAAACTTTGGGAACGGCGTGCAGAGGTAGCAGGAGAGCGAAGGTCAGTGGGAGTGTTAGAGAGGCAGGTATTGGGAGAGGTACTGGGGGATCAGGGTTTAGGGACCGGGCACTGGGGAGCCTGTTCGGGGGCTGAGGGGCTCTGCACCCCCCGGGTCCCCTCGGAACGGGGCCGGGAACCCTTGGCACAGCGTGCCCGCCTCGTCCTTCAGCCAGGAGCCATGCACACGTCCAGGCTCTTCACCCTCGTCCTGGTGGTGCAGCCGTCCCGAGTCCTCCTGGGCATGAAGAAGCGCGGGTTCGGCGCCGGGCTGTGGAACGGCTTCGGGGGGAAGGTGCAGCCCGGGGAGAGCATCGAGGAGGCTGCCCGCAGGTGAGGGCCGGGCCGGCGCCACGGGGACAGGTATGGGGGCACAGCTGGAGGTGTTGGACCATCGGCAGTGGGCTGCAGGTGGAGGTAGCACGGCTCATCTGGTCAGTGACACCCTCGTGTTACCCACCAGTGCAGTCGTGATCCAGCTCTGAACACCTGCTCCACAGGTGATGAGGGATCATCCTCATGTATAGAGAAACAGGATTGCTCCCCCTTTGTCATCTGCACATCTTAAGTTCATCCAGTCTGTGAGCAGCTGGAACGTCCTTCCATCTCCTGGACTCTGATCTAAACTGAGAATGAGTCTGAGTAGTGGGTAGAGGTTCTTGCAATCTTCAGAGAGGTGCAGGGTTTAATTTTGGCTATATAGCAGAATTACAGCTAATTTAATTTAAATAATTAGCCAAGCTGCTTATTATTTGATTGTATGGTGTGACTTTTTTTAAGTGCTAATGCTGAGTTGTGGAATTGAATCTCATCAGTAAAAAGGCAGAGTGTAATTTCTGAACCCTTTAGTAGTGATTTCTTGTAGTTCTTTCATCTGTCTGGTCATTAAAATGAAGTAGCAAATCACAGCTGAATTGCTAAATTCCTTTAAAAATTAGGTACCTTGTTCTTTACATGAATGTTGCTGATACAAAGCCATGCTTTGCCATCTACTCAGTTTCTGATAACATGCCCAAAGCTGCCCTTGCACCTGCAGGAAGATCAGTCATGGTGTGCTCAGCTGGCTCCCAACAGCTTCTGCCCTCAACAGCCTCCTCTGCTGTGCCACACAACCACCCAGGCTCTGTGGTGAGCTGGGCCCAGGGACAGAAGGGTCTCTGTGCAGATGTGCTCCCAGCAGCCTTAACGTACCTGACACTTCATTGTGGCTTTTCGTGTGATTTATCATCTCTGAGTGGAGGGAGGGACATAAGTTTTGTCACTTAACATTTGCTAGACTTACCTGCCACTGGCTGTGGGGTAAATCTAATGGTTTAATGTAGCATTTGATTTCCTTATGTGTTTACCTGTGCTGGCCCCGAGTTTGACACAAGACGTCAAGTGCTAAAATTTTCCTCAATCCAAATGCAGTGTGCCACAGCACAGCCAGCACCTGCTGCTGGGGACTGACCCCATCCCTTCACCTGCAGTTTACTCCAGAATGACACAAGTTCCTGCTGAGGTCAGCTGGGCAGGAAGCTGTCCCCAGAGCCAGGAGCAGCTGGACACACTGGCCACCTTGCTGGCTGGAGCAGTGCTGGTGCAGTGCTGCCTCGGGGCACAGCTCTGCTGCAGGAAGCAGCACACACTCCAAATCAAACTTCCCTTGCACCACTTCCACTCTGCGCTGGCAGTTGAGGTCTGAGGTTGTGCTTCCACATTGCTCTGTCTTAGTTGAGTTGGCAGAGGCAGCAGTGAAGTCTCAGCACAGGTAGTTAAATATTAAACCAAAACGTGAACAAAAATTCCCAGTACCAGCAAGACTTACATCTTCTGCTGTGTACAGCACATTCCCAAGAGCACCTGGACTGATCCTCAGTGGGACATCATTTAGTGAATGAGTTATTTCTAGTTTGCCACCTGTAATGTTCCCACTTCCTACAAACAGAGCCAAGCAGCTGATGGATAAATTGCCTGGAAAACTGTAGCAGTGTTGTGCTTTGTTGTTCAGTTATCAGTGCCTGTAAAAGGAGGCTTTTAGAGTCATTGCTGGAAAACTGCCTCTATTTTAGACATAGATAGCTTCTCAGAAGATAAACTAAAATTAGCCAAGACATTAATTTGAAGTATAATTTTGAAAGATGGGATCCATGAAACCAATGCCAAAGAAAGCTGGAGCCTTAAAGTAATTTCCATTACATCTTAAAATTGTTGTTCCTGCCAAATAGGCAACTACATTAATTATTAACTATATCTAAAGATACACAGTTTCAGAGTATTCCTTATTTTTGTACATTAGAAAAACCATGACTAACTTCAAGCCATGCTGCTTCTGTTAGAGGGAGGTAAAATAAAAAAGCTCTGAGCACAGAGCATAAAAAGAGGAAATAGTTGAATGTGCTTCAAGTAGCTGTGCATGGTGGTGCGTGGAAAAGAACTGGCACAGCTCTCCAAGTGCTCTTAAAAGTCTCGCCTTCTGGCCTCTTGTTATGCTCAATGTGCTTCCAAGGAGCAGAAAGGCAAACTTTGCACAATTGCTTTGTGTTTTTTACACTGCATTTGAATGGAAACTGGAATTCTCAGCCTTCTGTGTGCAAATGGTTTTATGGAGTGTGTAATTTAACTAAGCTTCAGTTTGCCTCAGAAGCAGCTGATTGTGTAGCAGGTATAGATGTTCTTTCTGGTGTTCATGACCTGCTTCACAGTTCTAAAAGGTTGAGCTTGAAGTTGGCAAAGCCTTTTGCCTCTCTAATTGATGTGTCTTTACGTTCTGAAGCCACACCCAGCTACAATCACATGATGTCACATATCCACTTCTCCCTTACCTCCGAGAAGAGCTCCATGTTGCAAGAACTAAATTCTACTGAAGGATCCATTTTCCTGAATCTTCCCCTTCCAACACAGAGTGTTTTCCTGCCAGGCTCAGGAGCCTGAAATAACACACAATCCCACCTGTGGTGTTGTAGCCTTGTGGCTTGGTGCAGGTCTGTTGTATTATAAGAGCTTTCAGCTTTGGTTCACTGGAAGGGTTTTAAATGTGTGAGTAAAGCTAATGACTGCATTTTTGTCCTCACAATGCTCACTTCCTTGCAAGAAGTCTTTTTCTTGTGCAGGGAGCTTCTGGAGGAGAGTGGACTGACTGTGGACACCTTGCAGAAGATGGGTCAGATCACATTTGAATTTGTAGGCAACTCTGAACTCATGGATGTTCACATTTTCCGGGCAGATCACTTTCATGGAGAGCCTACAGAAAGTGAGGGTAGGTGGCTGGTGTGGGGAAAGGATGTGCATGCTCTTCTGAGACAGCATTGCCCTTATGAAATGGAGAACTATTAATGCTAAAATGCCTCCCAGAAGGAAGGCAGCTGGGCTGTAGAGGGAAGCTGCTTGTTGACCAATATTCACAGTGTAAGCAGCAAAAATCCATGAGCAAGTCCCATGCAGAATTCTTTTGTTTTCTGCCACCAGAAATGCGGCCCCAGTGGTTTCAGCTGGACGAGGTGCCATTCCATCACATGTGGCCAGATGACAGCTACTGGTTTCCCCTGGTGCTTCAGAGAAAGTTGTTTCGTGGCTATTTTAAGTTCCAGGGACAAGACACCATCCTGGAGCACAGCCTGAAAGAAGTGGAGGAAGTTTAAGAAAGCAGAAGCATTCAGCCCACATGCTACTGCCCACATTGGGCTACAGCATCCTTGTGACTTATGAGGGTCTCCTTGCTCAGCTCTCCAGAAAACAACAGTTATTTTCCAGGTCGCTGCAAAGTAAGGAAAGTAAGGGGGTTTCTTAGAGCAGAAATAAAAGTAACAAGATTTTCCATGCTGTCAAGTCCCTGGTTGTGGTAGGCTTTGGTGGTTATGTGATCACAGCTATTAAAAACTTAAGTGTTAACCCTTTTTAGTGGCTTAAGCTCTTCCCTTATGGGTGTATTTTTTTATTATTATTAAAAATAATTTTTTTAGTAAAAGCATGTGTGCTGTTGTAATAGTGCTGTGCAAGCCTTTTGAAAAGTTCAAACCAGAGATTCCTTCAGGATCCTCCAGCTGAAGGCAGTGTGAGGTATGGGAGTTAAGAAAGCACAAGCAAGAGGTAGATGTACAGTCCTGTCTCAGCCCAGCTTTCACTGTTGCACTCCTGAAGTCAAACTATTTGAGCATTTCAGGTAAAAATATGCTGAATCAATTCAACTTCCAGCAAGTTCCTGTTACAAAGTGCCATGCTCTAGGGCTGCAGGCTTTGTCCTCTCAGCCCAGCTTTCACTGTTGCAGCTCCTGAAGTCAAAATATTTGAGCATTCCAGGTAAAAATATGCTGAATCAATTCAACTTCCAGCAAATTCCTGTTACAAAGTGCCATGCTCTAGGGCTGCAGGCTTTGTCCCAGGGCAGGAGCAGGTGACTGCTCAGCACTGATGTCAGCCCAACCCAGCATGGTGGGCAGCAAAAGTTTAATCCAATCATGCCAGAAATAAAACATCACATATCTAACTTCT